CCAGACATCACATCAAACATATCATCATTCACCCAATCATTGTATGGTGTTGTGCAGACTCTATTATTGACAGGCATATTACTGAGTGCGGGGTTAAATACTAGTAACACACCAACAAACATCATTCACCCACAACAGCATACACCAGTACGAGAGTGCACTTCATTATTGTAGTGTAGTACAATGTGTCAGTGAGCCACGCCAGTGGTAATTAATAGTGATGGTGTTATCTAGGACCAATAGTTTGGAAGGTGTTTCACTGACAAAACAAACATAACTGATCTGCGTTTATCGTTAAAAAAACCCACGCGTTTCCGACCTGACCTGGATTAGAGATCGTGAAACAGAAAGATTGAACTTTTTTGGTCTGTTACACACCTTGCGACCATATGTCTTGTTTACACTGATAGACAGGAATCGTGACCATGAGTAACCGTGGACGATTCCATGTGACAGAAAGTTAACCCAAATAGAAAAAGATTGATATATTCTCACACGAGTTTGGGGGAAAACAAACAACACCCCAATGTAGTGATATTCTTTATCTTCTTCTTCTTCTTCTTATGATGATGATGATGATGTACAGATTGAAATAAAATAAAGCAAAGAGGGTTGGATGATCCTGGCACAGTCAGGCTGGTTAGGCTCATCTTCAGCTCAGGGCCCTTGCCTCCTCTACACGCAGCCCAGACAGCGAATGGGACTCTCCCAGGAAGTGCTGCCTTGTCAAACCCACCCAGAACTTTTCGGAGATTGTGAAGACTCCCCAAGACTGCAGCCTTCTGCATTACCAAGATTGTCAGAAGGGTTGTATAAGATGGTAATACACTTTTAACAACTAAATCTGAAATAGGCAACAAACTTCGTGACACTTTGGCAAATCATTCCTCATCATCAAACTATAATCCTCAATTCCAGAGGTTTCAAAAACAGCAGGAAAAGAAAACAGTAAATTTTAACTCTGATAATGGTGAGGACTATAACGAAACATTTTCACTCAATGAATTATATACTGCCCTAGGACAATCTCATGACACTGCAGCAGGAGCAGACAACATCCACTATCAGCTCCTGAAACACTTGCCCGATTCATGTTTGGAAACTTTACTTAATATATTTGATGAAATATGGACAATCGGAAATTTCCCTCCTTCGTGGCACAATGCTATTATTATTCCTATTCCAAAGCCTGGACGGGATCACACAGATCCATCCAACTACCGTCCAATATCATTAACTAGCTGTGTTTGCAAAACCATGGAGCCAATGGTCAACAATCGATTAGTCTGGTACCTGGAGACCAATAACCTCCTGAGTGACATCCAGTGTGGTTTCCGAAAAAACAGAAGTACCATTGACCATTTGGTGCGTTTAGAATCGTTTATTAAAAATTCCATTGTCAACAAACAACATACTGTATCAATCTTTTTCGATCTAGAGAAAGCATTTGATACAACGTGGAAACATGGTGTTTTAAAAGATTTGCATGAATTTGGATTGAGGGGCAGATTACCTCACTTCATATCTAAATTTTTAAACAACAGACAATTTCAAGTACGAGTGGGCTCTACCCTGTCTGATCAATTTGATCAAGACCAGGGCGTCCCTCAAGGCAGCATACTGTCAGTCACCCTTTTCAGCATCAAAATTAATAGTCTCACTAAAGTATTAAACAATAGCGTTGATGGTTCACTTTTTGTGGATGATTTCAATATTTCTTGTCGTGGTAAGAATATGAATACAATAGAAAGACAGCTACAGCTCTGTCTTAACAAAATTCAAAAATGGGCCAACGAAAACGGCTTCAAATTTTCTAAATCCAAAACAAACTGTATTCACTTTTGTCGTAAATACAAACCTCACAAGGATCCAGATTTATTTTTAGATGGTACTCCTATCAAGGTAGTAGAGGAGGCCAAATTCCTGGGCCTCATATTTGACCGTCATCTCACATTCTTACCACACATTAAATATCTCAAGGCAAAGTGCCTGAAGGCTCTCGACTTGTTAAAAGTCGTTTCAAATTCCGAGTGGGGAGGGGATCAGACCACCCTCCTTCACTTGTTCAGATCGTTAATACGCTCCAAACTGGACTATGGTTCCATTGTCTATGGTGGAGCCTGCAAAAGCAATTTAGAAAAATTGGACACTGTACACCATCAAGGCCTAAGACTCTGTCTTGGAGCTTTTAGGACCTCTCCTGTGGACAGTTTGTATGTGGAGGCCGACGAACCTTCACTCGAACTGCGCCGCATTAAACTTTCACTGCAATATATCACTAAATTGCACTCAAATAAATCTAATCCAGCATACAATTGTGTGTTCCACCCTCAATATGAAAACCTGTTTCAAAATCTCTCAAACCTGGTTCCACCACATGGAATCAGAATTCAAACACACATCACTACAGCTAAATTGGATTTAAATATTATTTCACCTCACCGTCTTCTGTCTTCTCCTCCCTGGCAGATGGTGAAGCCAGAAGTAGACCTCACTCTAACCAATCTAAAAAAGTCGGATACCAATCCTTTGGTATATCAACAATCATATAACCAATTACGCTCCAAATATAATTCTCACAGGTCCATTTTTACAGACGGGTCCAAGGATGGTGGCAAAGTTGCAAGTGCCACCATCATTGGATCCAGAACTGTCTCCTCAAGAATACCAGATACTAGTTCAATTTTTACTGCTGAGGCCAAAGCTATCTTTACAGCTTTGACCTATATCAAACATCAAAACCAATCCAAAAATTTCATCATTTTCTCCGATTCATTATCATGCCTTCAGGCACTTGAAAGTATCTCCTCAAATCATCCTATAATCCTTGACATTTTAGAACTCTATAATGATCTTTCTACTGGCCAATGTGACATCGTCTTTTGCTGGTTACCAAGTCATGTAGGCATAACAGGTAACTCAAAAGCCGATACTGCAGCTAAAGCAGCTCTTGAAAAACCGTTGTCTCCACTCTTTATCCCGTACAGTGATTTCAAACCAACCATCAAATCTTATACTCGGGATCTCATGCAAAAGAGGTGGGACACCCAAGTAGGAAGCAATAAACTACACGAATTGAAACCAACAATCGGTCATAACTACTTGGGTTGTCAGTCAAGACATGACGAGATCGTTTTACGACGGTGTCGTATTGGCCACAGTCGGTTTACACACGAATATCTGCTGAAGACAGATGAGGACGAACCTCCTAAGTGTATCCCTTGCGATGAAAGGTTCACCGTCAAGCATATATTGCTTGACTGTGTGGACTTTGCAATCACAAGGGATTCACATTATCAAAGTGTAAATCTAAAAGATCTCTTTTCCCGTGTCAACGGGCATCTCATCATAAATTACTTGAAAGAAATTGGTCTGTATAATAAATTTTAAATATGTATGTGAATAATTAAATGCTTGTTTTTAAATTTGGTGTGATGCTATTAGCAACTGACATTATTAAAGGCTCTGTCCATTAATTGTCATCAATTGTTTTTAAATATGACATTGCATAAATAACTAAATTGTGTATATATTAGCTTGGTCTCGTCGCTATATGGCTGAAAAAATGCCGATGCGACGTTAAATTTTAACTCACTCACTCCTTGTAGCAAATCCGGGTACTCTCCGGATGTCAGTCAACAGATTGGGAGGTACCAAACATAACACACCAAGAACAATGGGGAGTCGGACAAGTTGGTACTTGGGATGCAAGCGTGACATTTCGAAAGCAAGGTCTGAAATAATTGCCATGTTTTTCCTGAATCTTGTCAATACCATTAGTGTCAAAAGGAACAGAAAATAAATGATATAAATTATTTCATCGGAATTATCAAAAAGGACAATATCAGGTTTGTTGGCCTGGATAGATGTAAGGCTGTATACGGGCCAATTCCAAAGAATTGTGTATTTATCATTTCCATGAAAACCTCTACATATTCTGGGTCGTACCATAGATGGACCTCTGAGTCGAAACCACAAGCATGGCAAAGACGGTAATAAAAGGATCGAGCCACTCGATCATGTCGCTTAAGTTATTGTGTTTGTGCCAAAGCTTGGCATCCACTGACAATGTGTTGGACAGTCTCATTAAATTCATTGCATAATCTACATTTCATATTTACATTTTGATGCAAGATCACACATTGACGGTTTCGAGTGGGAATTGACTGGTCCTGAACATCAAACAGAAAGCCTTCTGTTTTACTTTTCAGGACAGCCTACCTCATCAAAGCTAAGGACTCTGCAGGGTTGCCTTTTTTCTCAACACACTGCACATAAACTCGATGCCGTGGTCGTTCAGATAGCCACTCATTCTACTCTTTTATACCAAGGAAACAGTTTCCAATTTTGACTACATCAAATTCAACAAACTCGAACAAATCAAGTAAACTGTTTTAATAAATCAGCATCTATTCAGGTGTAGGCATATTGCACTGATGGTTCTCTGGTGATTGGTTATATTCAGAAGGATTAATCGAGAGAAGAGAGTCCGTCTTGGAGCCATATAAATATGGCCCCGCCATGACGTTATGTTATTAGGAGACGTTGAACAGAGTCATCATAAATAGAGAGTAGAACATGATCATAAGTGCCAAAGTTACCAAGAAGGGCGTCAGAATATGTTTCTGAAAGAGACCGAGCCATAATTAATTACTAATTGCTGCAATATTTGTATGTTCGTTGTTCTACGCCGCAGAAGGCAATATTTCAGCTGCATCCCATGGTGGCATGTGCATAATCAATGGAAGTCATTGTCTAGAGCATGAGAAATCATCCATGCCCGATCTTTCCCCAAAATTGGATGATGTTATTAGCTTTTATAGTTCGGTACAATTTCGTTTTTTCCCCATCGGAACATGCCATGCTTAAATCCCATAAACGAATGGAATACCAGGAGATGGCGAGGTGAAATATATGGTATGCACTTACATACATTTGCACACATAGATTCATCCATTCACATATTAGATGTGCTATCAAATCTAACAGAAAAGCATACATTCAGAAAACCCTTTATTCGCAATAGTTACAGGCCATTGGTCGCCAGAGTCTTCACTTTCCGCTGAAAGAATGAGAAACAGTATTGAATGAATAATAATAATGATGATCGTTTAACTGTTAAGATAAAATCCCACTTCACAGTTTGATATGTAATCATGTGGGAAAAAGAGATACTCTCTATTTCCCTTTCAATCATCTTCCCGAGGCAAAAGAATTAACTGACTTTTAAAGTCCAGTTTCCAAACTTGCCGAACTAGGCTGGAATTCCTGGACTCGATCGTAGCTCCACCAGTGGTTATTGCGAGTTATGTCCCTTCAAAGCTTCTTCTATGGGCCAATCAGATTCCACCTCTCGTATCACTTGCATTTACATTGTGATAAAACGGTTCTTACATCGCGAAGTGCATCAAATCATTTGAACACCTTGATTAAAAACATGAAAAGATTTGGAAAATATCTGTTGACAATGAGTTGTCGGTGTACATGCTTTGGAAATCCTGCAATCGACCGACATCTGCACGCCAGTTTACGAACCAGATTTCGATTTTGATTGGATTATGCATAGACTCGTTAGTCAAGCCAAAATGTAACTCCATAATACCAGCCTAGTTCGGCAAGGGAGGAAACTGGACTTGTATAGTCAGTTAACTCTCTTGCCTCTTGAAGATGCTTTCAATCTGCTGTAAACTCTTATGACAATGAACATAACGAGACATTTCTCCATGGCTTGTGTGAAGAACATAGAAATTACCTTGAATTCAAAATGTTTCAATAATAATTCTTATAAGAACATGGTCACATTCACTGTTTACCTTTGCGTTTTTCTCATCATCTTACTATAGTTTCTGTTATGGGTCATATGACATTTAGATGTATTAACTTACAATCCGAAGCCGCAAGTACAATGTCCGTCGAAGCAGTGGTGCTGTCTGTTGTCGCGACACGTGCAGGAATCACAGTCAGAGCGCGCAGCACAGGTAGCTGAAGCACAAAGGTCAAGGTTGGACTGAATTTTCTATTCATATGCCTTAATCACGACAACTATGCTGTACACGAACAGCTTAACGCTTCAGCTTCGGTACATAAATATCAATGCTGAAGCTACTTCCTACATTCACATGTGAGCTGCAGTGTCGTGGCAGTATTTGTCCTCATAAATTGATGCGTAATGAAAACTATTATTGAACATGAAATTGTTAAATTCAAACCCAGAATAGTGTTTGAAAATGGTTTAAAATTAATCCCCCAAACGCAATTAAACAAATGGTTAAAAAGTAAAAGCGACAAAACTAATTCAACAACCATAAGAATTATCCACTAAAACCAGACTCCGTTGTATGATTCCGCCTTTATCAAAGCATGTGTTTATGAATCACAATCATATGGTGGTAACACTGCACCACCGATGGCAGTCATCACAAACACATACGATGGCAAGTCAGTTTTTCACCTAGGAATCACGGGAACATATGGTACCAGTCAAAATAGGGAATTGCATCTGACATCAGTTTTGTTACTGATATCCTCCACACGTCTTCGATAATTGTTTTTGAAAACTTGACATGGGCCTTGATTGTTGTAACATTGATCAAACACAATTTTAGAGTAGTATGACTTCTTTGAAATCTTCGTAGAAGCAACATGTTCGACTGAACCTCAAAAGTTGTGAAATGTAGACAGCAAGGGCTGTAGCTGGTAGGATATTGCTCGAAGTTACAACATACGTTACCTATATGTTGTTATGCATTGATTCCTTAGTTAAAAAGCGAAATCAAACTCCAAAATCGTAGTATACAGTGCTAAATCAAAGAATAATTAACCAAATGGGTCGAATGTTCCAGAGGCAAATATAATAGGCCCCATTACATATGTCAGTGCACTCATGAAAGTGCAGTATTTGTCACAGTCGATGTCTCGAGGGAAGCAGGTGCTCCAATCTGGAATTCAGAAAACGGTGTTGGAAGCAGGCAGAAAAGTCAACGATTTCAGATAGGTATCCCGTCCAGACGGGGCAAGTACAATAGTCAGATCGTAGAGGGCCTCGAATCGCCTCGTCTCGCTAACAGCTAGCTCTCTGGAAATTATTTCCACGTGAAACTTCTCTAAAAATACAGCCTATCCAAGTGTTGATCCACAAAGGAGGATAACTGTCATGTACTCTGATTGTCACACACCGTCAATAAAATATATCTGGAAAGAACGGCACTTGGACATTTTACGAGTGCTTCAATCTGCTGCCATCAAACAATCATCAGAAATATACTTATTACCCCTACTGCCACATAATAAGGTATAATATCGCTCTATGCCTTTGAATGTAGCGATACATGTATTGGGTTGGTTTTGGTATCATCACGTATGCTTATGATATAGTCGGAATCGAAAACTGGACTGTACTTTTTGCAGGTATTTTTTTAGATTACGGAAATTATATTGTTGCTTTTATTTATATATACACACACAGGTGTGCGTGCGTGCGTGCGTGCGTGCGTGCGTGTGTGCGTGCGTGCGTGCGTGCGTGCGTGCGTGTGTGTGTGTGTGTGTGTGTTAGGTGTGTGTGTGTGTGTTACTCACGTGTGATAACGGGTGGGAAATATGATACAAGGACACTACTAATGGTGATTTTGGGAAATGATGTACATAAGATGTTATTTTAAAATGGAAAGAGAAGATACAGTATGACTCACTCTGTGGGCAGGGGGCTGTGCTTGCCCCCTCAAGACACGTGCACTCTCCGTGGGAACATCCAAGTTTCGTCGAGGAGTCACAGCTCACGTGGGAACAGTCACCCACGTTACTGCATCGTTCAGAGGTTACCAGGACTACATTACATATGAGGAAAACCTAAAGATATACATTAATGCATCGGAATGAAAATAGAGAAACAAATACATTGGCTGTATGACGCAGTCAACTCAGTTCTATTTATAATCCCAAAAGTGTTCAGGGTCACTAGCACTTAAGCAGCTTGAGCGTAATCAGGTCTTAATATATAATTGTGTAAACGCAGTAACAAAAATCAGGAATTTTTGGTTGACGAAGAAGTAAATATGCATCGGAAATAATGGAAGAAATCGTCACATGAGAGGCTTTGTTTAAAAAACATAACATTACCTCAGGTTTAAAAAAATCTAGAAAATTGCTCACCATACATGCTGGTTTTAATACCTGGCATGTATAGCTAGCCATTTTCTGGATATATGGATGAACAACTTCTTCATTACAATTAGGAACGTCATTTCGGTGTAGGTTCTATAAACACCATTATCAATGTGATGTACAGGGTATGCTTGACACTCCACTAACAGTGTAACTACGTCCCTAACCACTGAACTGTACAAACACTGCCTCATACCTGCATATATACCATACTCTGTACATCACTTGCTTGATAACGGTGTTAGAACTGACGACGAAACGACGCTCCTAATTGTAATGAAGAAGTTGTTCATCCAGATATCTTATCCTGACTCCAACTACTAAATGCCTCCAAAAGAAGTTATGCTGGGTATCCTGACCATGAGAATCAGCTGGTTAATTGTTGAAACGTGAGTGAAAGAAATCAATGATACAGCTATATCATGGCAGCCTGTAATTATTCGCGTCTGGTCCAACCAAACCATTGAATGTAACGTAAAGTCTTTATACTCGATCCTCATTTTAGTCCGAATGTCAAACATAGTCTAAAAAGAACCAGACATCACATCAAACATATCATTCACGCAATCAGTGAATTGTGTTTTGCAAACGCATATTACTGAGTGCGGGGTTAAATAACAAACCAACAAACATCACTCACCCACAACAGCACACACAGCTGCCAGGACGAGAGTGCACTTCATTATTGTAGTGTAGTACAATGTGTCTGTGAGCCACGCCAGTGGTAATTTATAGTGAAGGTGTTATCTAGGACCAATAGTTTGGAACATGTTTCACTGCCCAAACAAACATAACTGATCTGCGTTTATCTTTAAAAAATATTCACACTAGATTCCGACCTTACCTGAAGTTAAGATCTTGAAAAAGACATTTGTGGTCTGTTCCATGTGTCTAGTTTACACCGATTGTGGGGAATCGTGACAATGTGTATCTGCGCTCACTCGGTCACATCGTAGAAATTAACATGTGCATAGACTGAAATATGTTCTATTTTCAGAATTAGATATATTCTGACCCGATTTTCGGACAAACCCCAAGGTAATGATATATTTCTTATATACACTTCATAGTTAGATGAGGTAGATTCTTGAATTATATTTATAATTTTATCGAATTAATCGCAAAATAATAAATCGTCACCAAAAATTCTTGAAAACGAATTATGCTACACAACTATTGACAAAAACATATTTGCCTGCCACAAGGTGCAAGGTGTTTTCGCTTTTTAAAAAATAAGGCTCTTGGTTTTAAATAAAATAATGTCTGGTTTTGTAGCTGTAGCTGAAAAATAATATAATTATACTGTCAATGCAAAATGCCAGACGCCACCAAAGTTGTCGGTGCATAAGGTGCGAAAGCGAAAGCAGTTTTAATAAAAGAAACGTCGTCTAACGGTGACAAGAGTTGTAATTTATTTAATACTCACTTAAACTTGCACATTATCGAAATTCAAGGTTGATGTTGGTTTTAAGGTGGCGTATGAATACAGCAGCCGTACCAATACAGTGCCCATATTTATCCGGTATCAAGAAAGAAACGATAAGATGCTTTTTTCTAAAAACATGTTCATTATAGCATTTACATACACAATCATCAAGAAGTTGGAAACACCTGCTTTCAACGGGAATATCTACTGAGTTCAGTGTAGGTGACGGGAGCCCCAGAGACGAGCGAGTCATGTCATGTTGGTTGTTGTGTGGTGGTCAGCAGATGCTTAACTGGTATCTCTAATTGCAATTGGGGTCACGGGTGGCCCAGTCGTCTAAGGCGCCGCGATTCGCTGTGCAGAGATGCGTCCCTTGGGCACGCCAGAAACCTTTGATTGTGGGTTCGAATCCCGGTTCGCCCAGATAATGTTTCTTGATTTGTCAACACCATACCTGTGCTCGTGGGTTTCACCGAAGTGGTAAACGTCTGAGACCTGTATCACCTCCGGCTTTCCTAAATAATCGAATCTGGGGCCAGCCAAACCTTTGAGTGAAAGCATAAGCAGCAAAAAAAAGTAATGTCTTTTTACTCGATCCTCATTTTTAAAGTCAAATGTCAAGCATAGTCAAAGACAACCAGACATCACATCAAACATATCATCATTCACCCAATCAATGTATTGTGTTGTGCAGACTCTATTATTGACAGGCATATTACTGAGTGCGGTGTTAAATAACACACCAACAAACATCAGTCACCCACAACAGCAGACACCAGTACGAGGGTGCACTTCATTATTGTAGTGTAGTACAATGTGTCAGTGAGTCACGCCAGTGGTAATTAATAGTGGTGGTGTTATCTAGGACCAATAGTTTGGAAGGTGTTTCACTGACAAAACAAACATAACTGATCTGCGTTTATCGTTAAAAAAACCCACGCGTTTCCGACCTGACCTGGATTAAAGATCGTGAAACAGAAAGATTGAACTTTTTTGGTCTATTACACACCTTGCGACCATGTGTCTTGTTTACACTGATAGACAGGAATCGTGACCATGAGTAACCGTGGACGGTTCCATGTGACAGAAAGTTAACCAAAATAGAAATAGATTGATATATTCTCACACGAGTTTGGGGGAAAACAAACAACACCCCAATGTAGTGATATTCTATATCTTCTTCTTCTTATGATGATGATGATGATGATGATGATGATGTACAGATTGAAATAAAATAAAGCAAAGAGGGTTTGGATGATCCTGGCACAGTCAGGCTGGTTAAGCTCATCATCAGCTCAGGGCCCTTGCCTCCTCCACACGCAGCCTAGACAGCGAATGGGACTTCTCCCAGGAAGTGCTGCCTTGTCAAACCCACCCAGAACATTTCGGAGAATGTGAAGACTTCCCAACACTGCAACCTTCTGCATTACCAAGATTGCCAGAAGGGTTGTATTCCTGGTAGCAAATCCGGGTACTCTCTGGATGTCAGTCAACAGATTGGGAGGTACCAAAACTAAGGCACCGAGAACAATGGGGAGTCAGACAAGTTGGTACTTGGGATGCAAGCGTGACATTTCGAAAGCAAGGTCTGACATATTTGCCATGTTTTTCTCTGAATCTTGTCAATACCATTAGTGTCAAAAGGAACAGAAAATTATATGATATCAATTATTTCATCGGAATTATCAAAAAGGACAATATCAGGTTTGTTGGCCTGGATAGATCTGAGGCTGTATACGGGCCAATTCCAAAGAATTGTTTATTTATCATTTCCATGAAACCCTCTACATATTCTGGGTCGTACCATAGATGGACCTCTGAGTCGAAACCACAAGCATGGCAAAGGCGGTAATAAAAGGATCGAGCCACTCCATCATGTCGCTTAAGTTACCATGTTTGTGGACAGTCTCATTAAATTCATTGCATAATCTACATTTCATATTTACATTTTGATGCAAGATCACACATTGACGGTTTCGAGTGGGAATTGACTGGTCCTGAGCATCAAACAGAAAGCCTTCTGTTTCACTTTTCAGGACAGCCTACCTCATCAAAGCTAAGGACTCTGCAGGGTTGCTATTTATCTCAACACACTGCACATAAACTCAATGCCGTGGTCGTTCAGATAGCCACTCATTCCACTCTTTTATATCAAGGAAACAGTTTCCAATACTGACTACATCAAATTCAACAAACTCAAACAAATCAAGTAAACTGTTTTAATAAATCAGCATCTCTTCAGGTGTAGGCATATCGCACTGATGGTTCTCTGGTGATTGGTTATATTCAGAAGGATTAATCGAGAGAAGAGAGTCCGTCTTGGAGCCATATAAATATGGCCCCGCCATGACGTTATGTTATTAGGAGACATTGAACAGAGTCATCATAAATAGAGAGTAGAACATGATCATAAGTGCCAAAGTTACCAAAAAGGGCGTCAGAATATGTTTCTGAAAGAGACCGAGCCATAATTAATTACTAATTGCTGCAATATTTGTATGTTCGTTGTTTAACGCCGCAGAAGGCAATATTTCAGCTGCATCCCATGGTGGCATGTGCATAATCAATGGAAGTCATTGTCTAAAGCATGAGAAATCACCATGCCCGATCTTTCCCCAAAATGGGGTGATGTTATTTGCTTTTATAGTTCGGTATAATTTCGTTTTTTCCCCATCGGAACATGCCATGCTTAAAATCCCATAAACGAATGGAATACCAGGAGATGGCGAGGTGAAATATCTGGTATGCACTTACATACATTTGCACACATAGATTCATCCATTCACATATTAGATGTGCTATCAAATCTAACAGAAAAGCATACATTCAGAAAACCCTTTATTCGCATAAGTAACAAGCCATTGGTCGCCAGAGTCTTCACTTTCCGCTGAAAGAATGAGAAACAGTATTGAATGAATAATAATAATGATGATCATCCAACTATTTACAAAAAGTCCCACTTCACAGTTGATATGTAATCATGTGGAAAAATCAGATTCCACCTCTCGTATCACTTGCATTTATATTGTAATCAAACGGGTCTTACATCGTGAAGTGCATCAAATCACTTGAACACCTTGATTAAAAACATGAAAAGATTTGGAAAATATCTGTTGACAACGAGTTGTCGGTGCACGTTTTGCAAATCAAGCAATCGACCGAAATCTGCACGACAGTTGACGAACCGGATTTCGATTTCGTTGCGCGATTTTGATTGGACTATGCATAGACTCGTTAGTCAAGCCAAAATGTAACTCCATAATACCAGCCTAGTTCGGCAAGGGTGGAAACTAGGCTTTTATAGTCACTTAACTCTCTTGCCTCTTGAAGATGCTTTCAATCTGCTGTAAACACTAACGACAATGAACACAACGAGACATTTCACCATGACTTGAGTGAAGAACATAGAAATTACCTCGCGGAATGTGAATTCAAAATGTATCAATATTAATTCTTATAAGAACATGGTCACATTCACTGTTTACCTTTGCGTTTTTCTCATCATCTTACCATAGTTTCCGTTATGGGTCATGTGACATTTAGATGTATTAACTTACAATCCGAAGCCGCAAGTACAACGTTCGTCGAAGCAGTGGTGCTGTCTGTTGCCGTGACACGAGCAGGAATCACAGTCAGAGCGCGCAGCACAGGTGGCTGAAACACAAAGGTCAAGGTTGGACCATATTTTCTATTCGTATGCCTTAACCACGACCACTTTGTTGTAAATGGCAGCTTAACGCTTAAGCTCCAACATTTGAATATCAATGCTGAAACTACTTCCTACATTCACACGTGAGCTGCAGTGTCGTGGCAGTATTTGTCCTCATAAATTGATATGTAATGGAAACTATATTGAACATGAAATTTTTATATTCAAACTCAGAATAGTGTTTGAAAATGGTTTAAAATTATTACCTTAAACGCAATTAAACAAATGGTTAAAAAATAAAAGCGACAAAACTAATTCCACAACCATAAGAATCACCCACTAAAACAAGACTCCGTTGTATGATTCCGACTTTATCAGAGCATGTATTTATGAATCCCAATCATATAGTTGCAACACTGCAACAACACTTACGATTGCAAGTCAATTGTCCACCTAACAAGCACGGGAACATATGGTACCAGTCAAAGTAGGGAATTGCATCGGACGTCAGTTTTGTCACTGATGTCCTCCACATGTCTTCGATAAATGTTTTTGAAAACTTGACATGGGCCTTTATTGTTGTAATATTGATCAAACACATTTTTAAAGTCGTATGACCTCCTTGAAATCTTCGTAGAAGCAACATGTTCGTCTGAACCTCAAAAGTTGTGAAATGTAGACAGCAAATATTATAGGTGGTAGGATATTG